CTAATATGTCTGGGATCAATGTCTTCAGTAACATCGACCATACCTATAAAGGTCGAATTCATCAATCGGACATCTTCAGTCATGCCCGTTTGGGACTCGACATACCCTACTTGAGCTTCGAATGGACTCGTATCCACTTTCATTGACATTTCCTCAAACTTCAATCTTCCTTGGTCGATTGCATCTTGGATCGTGTTCCTGAAATGTATACAATTATTAGTCAAATGTCCATAGGTATTATGAAATTTACAGTATTTTCGACCATTTCTTTGTTCTGTAGAAGGTAATTTATGATCATCACTCAGCTTAATCTGTTTATCTTTCAATAAAATATCGAAGATTTTATCTGCTTTCGTTACATCAAAGGTATATGTGCGATTTGCCATTTTGTCTTTCACTTCATTTTTCTGTAGCAGTTTACAAATATATGGGGCTCCTACTTTGAGCTCTGCTATATTTACTTTCTCATCGACAGATTCTTTCATATCTCCTTCTATCCTGGGATTTTCCTCATATATATCATTTATATACGCTACCTTATCTTTCTTCAAAGGTTTCTCAAATTTCTTGTACCTTTGTTTCTCGTATTCGATTTGTTCCACTCTTCTCACTTTATCAACTAACTGAGCCATATCATTAAATGGTAAATTAACTAACTTTTTCCTAATCGAGAATTCTAAGCCTGTAGAGGCCATTCTGACTAACTCAAATTCAGGAATTTGAGTAAAACATCTTGACTTCATTTGTCTAAATCTATTCAAATAATCATCTATACTTTCATGATTATATCTCTTTATATTCATTAAATCGATAAGACTTACTTGAGTTTCCCCCCTAAAGAATTGCTCATGAAAATTTCTTTCCAGCTGCAACCAATTATATATTGAATTAGGTGGCAACGACATAAACCACGTGAAAGCATTCTTTGTTAATGAACTAGGAAAATATTTCATTTTTAATTCCTCGCTCATCGCTAAGTCTCCACATTCGATTTGGTATCGCGCCACATGCTCGATAGTGGATTCGTCAATTTCTCCAGCAAATTTGGTGAATTTAGGTATTTTGTATCCTCGTGGTAATTCTGTCTCAAGAATCGTATTTGGAAAAGGAGAAACAAAGTATGGTTGATGAGGTGGTCTTAATTCTCTTCCTTGAGGATTCATCCTTTGTCCCATCAGATGATTGTACTGCATGCTATTTTGATTATACATATTCTGACATCCCTCATCATTCCTCACATGCTGATATTGATTATTGTTTCGATTTCTCCTTAATAAATAAAGGGGATTGATATTAGCGTTTTGGTTAATATTCTGATTGGTATTATTTTCGACCCTTGTTTGTCGAGGTATCGCCAATGCATCCCCGATACGTGACATTTGGTCTGCTAATATCTCAAAACTAGTGGTAGTGTTTTGAACTAATGGGTTTAGTACTGTAGTCAACTGTTGTGATAACATGTTAACCATCTCGAAATTGCTTTCGTTTATTTGTTGTCGAAGTACTCCTAATGAGTTACTGGAAATTCCAGTACTAGCGTTTTCGATAGTCTCAAAATTGGATCGATGATAATCTCTATCGAATGTATATCTCCCGTGATCCAGGTTTGCTCTGTGATCCAGGTTTGACACTGGAGGTGTCTGTTGTGTTCCTAAATTTTGCACATTCCCTGAATTCTGGGGTGTTACTAAATTTTGATATACCCCTAAACTTGGGGATACTCCAAAATTTTGAGGCATGCCTAAGGTTTGAAACGTTCCTAAGTTTTGGGGCATTCCTAGGTTAAATCTCGTACTTCGTTGTATTGAAGAAGTACTAGCCCCATTCATATTATTAATCGAAAAGTCAGGTGGTCTTACACTCATATGCGGGCCTGCATATGTTGTTACGGGATTCCCCGTAGTTTGTGTATTGTTTGACATTACAGTACTAGACCCTAACTGAGTGTTTACCGATGTGCCTGAGCTTTGTTCAGCACTCACAGGTATCGACGTACTCACAATTGTCGATATTATGGGCATATTCCCATTATGAACTTGCCCCCCAGTGTTTGGTAAATGTGAACTATTTGGAATCTCATTGTTCTTCTGATTATGTGGTGTATTTTTACTCATTCTTAATACTCGCTCACTCCTTAATCTCATACACTTTCGAACTAACCACTTGTTTGTGTTTTTCGACACAACACCCCCTACCTGGCGCGCCAATTTGTTTCTGGTGAAAATTTGATTGATTTCGATTAAAGGTTCTGATCAAATTTTCGACCACGTAGATTCTTTTTACTTAGTATGTGGATTGGCAACTGAAAGTACTATTTTTTTTTTATTTCTTTTTTTATTAGGAAACATTGAAGTAAAGAAAACAGTAAAAGTGTTGAATCGAAAAGCAGTGCAGAATATCAAATTGCAAAGAAATGTAAAATGCGGAAAACCTCAAATTTGCATTAAGTGTAAATGACAAAGAATCGAAATTGCGGAAATGTAAATAGTAGGAAATCAAAATTGCAAAAATGTAAATGGCGAGGATCTTAAACGCATAACCTTAACTTGCATAAAAGTAAATGACAAGGAATCGAAAGGACAAAACTTAAAGTTTGACAAACGTAAATTGCAATGAAAGTAAATTACCAGGGAAAGTAGAGAAAACGATAAAGATAATCAATGAAAACGGAAATCCAGAGCATTAGAAACTTCATGATGCGTCGTTCTCCTGTAGACTGTTCACTTGCGCTTCTGTTGTCTCTGCCCCCCCCCCCCTTTTTCCCTCAAGTCTTCGCTCTATTTATAGAACAACTTTCAAGTAACCTCCTAAGAGCAGTTAACAAAACTGCCACCACGATCCAACATGCACGTCCCTTAGTTCTACGGTTTAGAAAATTGCATTTCACGTTCCCATGCATGAGATAACTACTCCCTTAATCTTCGATCTCTGTCACGGTTTAGAAATCGCTTCCCATGTTCTATGTGCGCGTTAACCGTTCCCTCGATCTCGATTTCAGATATCGAGTACTTTGAATTGCTTTTGATTCCCTTTAATCTTAACAGTACACTAGATTCTAATTTCTCGATTCTCTTCAACAATAGACATCGAATATTCTTCTTTCGATTCTCGATTCTGATTCTCGATTTATATGTGTTTTTATCTTGTGGTTATCAGGTGTCTTCTGCCTGTCTCTTATCAATTTTTCAACCAACCATATGATCTTCGATATTCCTCTTTCTTGTTTATCGATCCTGGTATCGATTTTTCTTTATTAACACCTTGATTATCTTTTCATCTTAATTTTTCTCATTAAATCTTATTCAACTTTTTAGACCCTTTTGCATAAAATAAATAAATAAAAAGTTAATACTGTATACACTCAAATAATTTAATAACGTTTTATTTTATTTTTTTCCTTTTTTTTCTCTTATGCTTGTTGGGCCAAAAAACTAATTTCTTCAAATGGCATTTCAATTGTAAAAGAGAAATTAATAAATCTATTTTCGGCTTTGCGCAACCATTTTGTCCTTCGCAATTAAATTCATTTATGTGGTTTTATTTGATATTTAGATTCAGTTAAATAACTTCTAAAACTAATATTGTAGCTAACTTATTAATTTTTTAAGATGAGGTAAATATTATAAAAATTAGCTTAATTAATCAAAAATAATTTTCTTTATAACTAACATCATCGTAGGTACAACTACACATGATTCTCGAATTTAAAATTTTATTTGGTAAACCAATTCTTTTTAATTATTTCTAATGAATGTGAACAGTTTTAAACGTGATATTTTCGTAGTGGCACAATCTAGTTGCAACACAAATGATAGTGTTCGGTTTCATAGTTAAGTTAAAATTAAAAAATAAAAATTACAAATTTTAACTAAGAGAGTACTCAACAGGAAATACTTAAACTTTTCAATTAAGTCTAAATGTAACTTCATTGAATCCTAAATTCTATTGTGTGAAATAACTTATATTTGTTTATATGTAGGAATTAACCATATGTTATGAAATTTATAATAATTCACAGATCGATATTTGTGTATGTAGAAATTAACCATATGTAATAAAATTTATAACAATTAACATACCTTATTTAATCAATTAAGAGTTTAAATATTATGCATAAAGTCATACATTTAAAAGCAATCAATATATTTAAAAAATTTAAAAAAATGAAATTTCATTATATTATTCATAAAAAAGTCTCTTGTTGTTTATCTTAATTTTTAAATTAAGATAAAAACAAAAACGTGATTTATATATTTACTAAATTACTTTATTTATTATTAATTAATATTAAATTGAAATCTCTCTTATGAGAGAGCATATAACTTTTTTAGGTATAATCTTCTATAAAAGTCATCTTCTAGATTTTATTTAACCCACATTTCATCTTTCACGTAAATGTTTGTCTAAAAATTTAAAGTAGGTAATATTTCTTGTCAAACTAATCAAAATCAAAACACAAGCCATGTATCTAGACAGCATATTTAGTTACTGATACAACATTAGTGTTGCAATTGAAATTGATCTTATTGAAATTGAAAAAGAGGTCTAATTATTGTACATTAGCTACCATTTTATATTTTGACTTTCATAAGAAATTGCTTTCAAAGACCAGCAAACACTTCAAGAGCATCTTCTTTGAGATTTGGAGCAAAGTAACAGACAAAGTTTCCATAATTGAATGGAGGATAACCAAGAGGATGGATTTTGTCGTCTACTAATATTGATGACTCGATATTGAGGTCAAATAATATATTATTAATAAATAATAAAAAAAAATAGTAAAAAGATAAAATTGTAGATATATACCTGAAATATATTAAATGATCATTAAGTTTAAGAGAGATAAAATCATAAATTATATGAGAGTTACAAAATCGAGGAGAGACCGAGAAAATAAAATTATAAATATATAAGTAAATATATTAAATGTTCTTTAAGTTTGAGAACGTCAAAATCATAAATTACATGAGAGCTTATAAAACTTTGGAAGGTCACAACCCTCAACTCCCAAGAAAATCCGCCTCACTAGGTTCAACATCCATCTTATCCTTTGGTACCATAAAAATTCCAAAACGAGTATACCTCTCTTTGTCTCCACTCAGCACCACTATGTGCGAGGCTGCATGAAGCCTCCCATTGCTCCATGCCTATCCATTCACGAAAAATAGTTAGAAGGATTTAACAACATCAATTTCAACTCTTTATAATAACTATGTATATATAACTAGCTGCTAGGTATAATTTTCTTCATGTACCTTCAGTGTATCACCAACCATAACCACAAAGCCATCTTGGGGTATCTCTATTTCAATCCATTTGCCTGTTTTGGTTAGCACCTGCAAACCTTGGACTCCATTTTCGCACAAAAAGGTTAAGGTGTTTTTATCAGTGTGAGCTGATGGAGGATCAGCGTCTTTGTTGTTTGAAGAAGCTTTGTACTTCTTGAATCGTATATGACTACAACTCTTCATGTTTTCAGCATCTGAAACGTAATGCTGGGAAAGACCATTGCTGTTAAGAATACATGTGTCAGAAAATTAAACTAAATAAGGTTGACAACAACAAAGAAGAATTAACAATTTATTTTCTTTTAATATGTCGATGTTTATCATGTAATAATTTTAAATGGGTTGTTATAAATATTTATGTTTTTCTCTTTAAATTCTAAAAATAAATCATAATACCTATAAAATAAAAATATTGTTTTATATTTCTTAGTTATGTGTCTCATACTTAATATCATTAATATTATTTTAAAAATATCAAATAATATTTTTTTGATGTAACTTCTGAGTAAAATTATTAATACTATTATTACAGGAATATATAATATTTTTAATTTAAGTTTTACAACAACCATAACCCACCATAATCATTTTCAAGATGAATAAGCCTATTTCTGACATCTTCAAGCTCATACACTTCAATGTCTCACTGCATGTCATCGTGATTAGCACAGTAAAAAATGCATGAATTGAATGGAAAAAATGTAATGAAATAATAAAGTACCAGAGATGAGGGTTTCCTTGAGGCCACATGAGGTTGGTGAAGGTCTCAACCGCAGCTGAGAGAGGAAGATCATGGATTCCAAAACTTTCATATTGAATATCCATGAAGTTAATGCCTCTGTAACTACTTAAGGCCTTGAACTGATGTGCTGCTGCTTTGTTTCTTGAGGTAAATCAAATAATGCTTTCATACTATTAAATATATGTTCACGTACACACTTAGTGATATCACACTTCATGAGGAAGCAACCATAATTCTTACATGCTTCTCTCACTTTCATGCTCATCTCCTTCCACTCCTCACTCCCTTCCATGTCACCCCTCTCTTGCATGTAGAAGTCAAAACATGGGATCAATAGTTGTATTTTTGAATAAGGACATTTAACGGTACATGTTTTTATCAATATATAAGAGATACCAATAATTGTTCTTCCATCTGATTAATTTGCATCTTGCAATGCATTGTTGATTGTTGAATAATAATTTTTTTTTCACCTAATAGGTTTGCAGTTAACAATAAAACTATTTAGATTAGCGTGGATAATATTGGAATAAAATTGTAAAATTATCATTGGAAGAAAGTAAACAACAACTAATTTGAAAAAATATTAAAAAAAATACATAGAGGGAGTATTAGAAAGTGATACATTCATCATAAACAAATAATGACTTTGAATATTTATTTTAATTTGTAGATAATTATACATGTAATATATTTTATATCCTGCAATTACATAGAAATTATGAATGATTGTATTAATTGACCTTTACAAATTCAACTCACTCTGTACAGAAGAAGCTAAGGATTGGGAATTGTTTAACTTAGCACTCTTAGGGAAACAGAAATGCAGACTTTTAGTTGAAGAAAATGCATCGTGGAACAAGATTAGTAGAAGGATCCGACACTACTTGCATGGATAAACATGGTGGAGGGCAGTGGGGGATGTTCTTGTGAGCTGAGGGGGGTCGTGGTCCCCCAAAGTTTTGTAACTCTCATGTAATTTATGATTTTGGTTTCCCAAACATAATGAGCATTTAATATATTTACTTATATATTTACAATTTTATCCTCACGATCTCTCCTCAGCTTTGTAACTCTCATATAATTTATGATTTTGTTTCCTTTAAACTTAATGATCATTTAATATATTTCAGTATATATCTACAATTTTATCTTTTCAATCTTTCATATTCTTTCTTTCTTTTATATTTATTTATTATTTATTAATAATATATTATTTGGCCTCAAGAAGATCAATGGTCAAGATCCGTCATCTGGTAAAAGGTCCGTGGATGAAGGGAGGTCTAGGAGAAAAAAATTTGTTACGGGGAAAATATTATTCTGGTATGGTAACAGGATGGCTGGATCTAGAAGGCAAACACATCTGGTTTCTGCAATGTCAATACAAACAACATATAAGAACCTACAACTGCATCATACACATGAGGGCAACAATCTTTTCAGCTCCCTTCGGCAGTCCTTTGCTCCACAAAAAACCATTACTCTTGCTTGAAAGGTACTCAGCGATATGCTACCTACCAATAGAAGGAAATTTGCTTCATAGATGGATTCTCGCACTCTATGATCAGTCGTAAGTGTCATGTAGAAACAACAGATCACCTCATATATATGGCAACACTGCTATGATTGGTTGGGGGGGGACACATATCTCTTTACCTTGTGATGGAAAAACACATTTTTGGCCTAATCTAAGCATACCAGCTGATAGGAAATATTATAAGCTCGTTTGGATTTGCCTTTTATGGTCCATTTGGTTGCACAGATATCAGATTTGCTTCTCAAATGTAGAGGCGAAGGTAGGAAATTGGTTGTGGATAAAAGCAAGGCCAGACAATACAACAACGACTTTTTCTTGGTGGTCTTGAATCCAGTCTGTTGTTCATCATCTTTGAAGTGCACTTAACGCTATATTATGTTTCTAAGCTGGGAAAGTATGATATTGCTATGATTCTGCCATGGGTGAGGTTTTCATTGTAGCAATAGGATGAGGTTTTTCGTTGGAAATATTTATATAAAATAGGTTTACTCATATTTTGGATGAGATGTAATTCTAAACTACTTGTTAGTATTTTAGGAAGGATAGGAAAGATGGTTTGATGTTTAGTAGTGAGATTTGTGTAGAAAATAGTTTTTAGAAAGAGGTGGGTAAATAGGAGAAGATTTGTATGAGGGAAGATAGTAATTGATCTTGGAAGTGCTACACTTTAAGTGAGGAGGTCACCACCTATATAAAGGCATGAGACACTCCTCTCTAGAATCTTCTAGGAACTTAGAGATGAATCTTCCTACATTACACTTTAACTTATCATTCTAGATTATTTTAGTAACTCTAGAGGCTACTTACATAGAGTTTACAATTCTAATAGTCTCTAGAACTTAAGGAAGTTTCTAGAACTTAATTTTCTTGATCTTTCTAGAATTTGCATTACTTTTCAACACTCTTCCTTGATGCAAATTTCTATAACTCCAAGTATGAAACGTAACTGTTCAAACTTGACTCTTGGTACGTAGTGTCTCGGTAAATATGTCTGCAATTTGATCTTATGTAGTGCAATACTCAAGTTGAATTTGTTTAGTCGCTTCAGTCTCTCTGATGAAGTGATATTTAATAACTATATATTTTGTTATTTGATGATGGATTGGATTCTTTGTCATTGCTATTTCTGACTTTTTATCACAATAAATTGTAGTAGATCCATGTTGTTGTTTTCCCATCTCTTCAAGTATTCTTCGGAGCCATATAACTTGACTTGTAGTCTCAGCTGCAGCCATGTACTCTGTCTCTGATGTTGATTGTGCTACTGTTGCTTGCTTCTTAGATGCCTAAGAGAAAAATCTCGATCCAAGTGAGAAGGCATAACCTGATGTACTCTTCATGCCATCTATAGATCCTGCCCAATCACTATCAGCAGTGGCAGATCTTCTTAGGAGCTGAGGGGGGTCGTGATCCCCCCAAAGTTTTTTAACTCCCATGTAATTTATGATTTTGATCCCCCAAACTTAATGAATATTTAATATATTTACTTGTATATTTATAATTTTATCATTTCAGCCCCTTCTCAATTTTGTAACTCTCATATAATTTTTATTTTGTCCCTTTCAAACTTAATGATCATTTAATATATTTAAGTATATATCTACAATTTTATCCTTTCATCCTTTCATCTTCTTTCTTCCATTTATATTTATTTATTAATACATATTATTTGGCCCCCTCAAGATCAATGGTCAAGATCTGCCATTGACTATCAATATAGCCAATCAGCTTTGAGTCGTTCATAGTTTTGTACCATATACCAAAGTCCTTTGTGCCTTGTAGATATCTTAAAATCCTTTTTGTTGCTCCAAAGTGAATTTGACTTGGTCTTTGCATGAACCTTGATAGAAGGCTTGTAGCATACATGATATCTGGTCGTGTAGCGGTAAGATATAGTAAGCTTCCAATCAAACTTCTGTAGCGTGATGTGTCAGCTTCTGGTGCTCCATCATCTTTTTGTAACTTCTCATTTGTCACAAGTGGAGCAGCCACAGATTTGCAACCATACATCTTGAATTTCTTTAATAAAGCCTCATTGTATTTCTTTTGAGAGATAAATATACCTTCCTTTTGTTATCTTACCTCTATGCCGAGAAAATAATTCAAGCCAAGGTCGCTTATTTCAAATGTTTTCATCATATCTTCTTTGAATTCCCTTATCATCTCTTTATTGTTTTCTGTGTAGATAAGATCATCTACATATAGAGAGACAATGAGAATATCATACTGACCTTGAGTCTTAATATATAATTTTGGCTCACTCTTGCTCCTCCTGAATCCTTGATTAGTGAAGTACTGATCAATTCTGTTGTACCATGCTCGAGGAGTTTGCTTTAAGCCATATAATGTTTTTCTTAGCCTTAATACTTTGACTTCATTTCCTTTACTTATAAAGCCTTGTGGTTGCTTCATGTATATCTCTTCTTCTAGTACACCATTTAGAAAGGCTGATTTAACATCCAATTGGTGAATGATCCATCCTTTTTGTGCTGCAAGAGCTATTAAAGCTCTAATTGTATCTAGATGAGCAACTTGGGCAAATGTCTTGTTATAGTCAATTCCAGGTTGTTGTGAATAACCCTTTGCTACCAGCCTAGTCTTCTGCTTTTGTATGGTGTCGTTAGGATTGAGTTTTGTTTTATAAACCCATTTTACTCCAATGATGTCCTTTCCATGTGGGCAATCTACTAGTTCCCAAGTATTATTCTTTTCGATCATTTTAATTTCTTCCTCCATTGCCCTGATCCAGACTTCTTGTTTTGCAGCCTCTTCATAGCATTCAGGCTCAAGCATTGTCATGTTGCATGTTTCATATATATCCACCAAGGATCTTACTCTCCTTGCAGTAGATTCTGGTGAAAAATTTTGTTGTACAAATAAATGAAGTGTACCTAGATCTTCTACCATTTCTTGAATTTCTTCATGTGATTATTGTACTGGAAGGAAGATGTTGTTTCTCATTATTCTTCCTTCTTCCCAATTCTAAAAAGCATTTTCATCAACTTCAACATCTCGACTGATGGTGAACTTCTTTGTCTGCAAGTTATAAACTCTATAGCCTTTTGTTTATGTGTTATATTCCAAGAAGACTCCTCGTATAGTCTTGTCTTCTAATTTGTGCCTTTTTTTATCTGGCACATGTATGTAGCAGATAGATCCAAAAACTCTTAAGTGTTTAGATGATGACTTTTGCCTACTCTAAGCTTCAATTGGAGTCTTGTCTTGGACTGCCTTAGTTGGGCATCTGTTTAGTATGTAAATTGTAGTGTAAACTGCTTAGGTAGGTCTTTCTCTTTTAACATTGATTTTATCATCTCCATAACAGTGCGATTTTTTCTCTCTGAGACATCATTCTGTTGTGGAAAATATGTGACTGTAAGTTGTCGGTCAATACCTTCATCCTCACAGAATTTATCAAATTTGTGGGAGGTGTACTCTTTTCCTCGATCGCTCCTGAGCACCTTTATCTGTTTTTCTATTTGTTTTTCGACAAGAGCCTTAAATTTTTTAATATTCCAAAGACTTCTAATTTTTCTTTAATGAAGTAGACCCAAGTCATTCTAGAAAAATTATTAATGAAGAGCATGAAGTACCTGTTGTTATTAAGCGATGGAGTCCTCATTGGTCCGCAAATATCTGTGTGGAGTAACTCCAACAAGTCTTTTGCTCTCCAAGTTTTTCCCGTAGAAAATGGTAATCTGTGTTGCTTTCCCAGAAGACATCCTTCACAAGCTTCACTACTCTCCTTAAGGCTTGGTAGATCTCTCATCATGCCTTTTTGATGTAGTAGCTTTAAGCCATGAGTATTGAAGTGGCCAAATCTACGATGCCACAGCCACGAGTCATCAACTTCTACTTTCATGGCAATGTTAGTTCCTCGATTGAAGCTTATAGGAAAACTTTTATTTCTCTTTTCCATTTTTACTTGAACAATCTCTAGATTTTTCTTATCATAGATAGTGCATGTATCTCTTTCGAAGTGAAGAGTATATCCTTTCTCCATCATTTGACCAATACTTAAGAGATTTTCTTTAAGATTGGGAACTATAAAAACATCATTGATAAGTCTCATACATTTCTTGGTCTCCACCATAACACTGTCTTTTCCTTTTGACTTTACCATGGTGTCATTTCCCAATCGCACTTGAACTTTGATAGAGTTATCAATTTATTTGAAGATGTTTGGATCATTCGTCATATGGTTACTACACCCGTTATCCAAGTACCATCTTCCTTTTGATTCATTATCAGAACACCCCGTAGCATAGAAGAGATATTATTCTCTATCCCGTTCTTCAGCAAAATTTGTTTGTTGATGATTTTTGTTGCGATACATTTTCTCCACATGTCCAAATTTCTTACAGTATTGACATTGATGTTTTCCTCGATGCCAATAATCTTTTTCCAAGTGACTTGTTTTTTTACAAGTGCCACATGAAGGATATTTTCCTTGAATAGTCTTGGAAAAATTTCTAAAGTTTTCCTTATTCCTAGAAAGTTCTCTATTAATTTTATTTCCTCCATTCTGAGATCGTAATTTTAGTTTTGATTGATAGGAATTTTCGACTGAGTCTTCTTCACGCATTTTCAATCTTTGTTCATATGTTTCAAGAGAACCTATTAGTTATGTCACCGATAATGTAGATAACTCTTTTGTTTGTTCAATTGCAGTTGCAATTGCATCATATTTTTGGGAAATAGAAATTAGAATTTTTTCAACAATTTTCTTATCAAAAATATTTTCCCCATAGGCTCTCATCTGACTAACTATTTCTTTTATTCTAGAATAGTAGTCTTTTATTGTCTCAGATTCATTCATTCTTATTAACTCAAATTCTCTTCTCAGTGAATGAAATTTAATATTGCGTACCTCATCGCTTCCTTGAAACTCCTCCTGTATTGTATTTGAAGCTTCCTTTGCACTTGTGGCACCCATTATTCTTGGAAAAATATGTCATCAACTGCTTGCTGAAGAATGAATAATGCTCTTGAATACTTATGTTTGTTTTCCTTCAGCTCCTTTCTCTGAGCAGCTGTAAGAGTTAAGATGTCTTCTGGAATAGTGAACTCATCTTCTATGACTTCCCAAAGATCACTAGTGCAAAAATGACATTTTACGTCACTCAATTGTCATCGCATATCAAAATATTCGACGTAAATAAAACGCGGTGGCAATTTTGTAAATAAGAGGTGAAACTTTTACGTCACATATTGTAGGAGGTGACGTTAAAAACTTCTTTTACGTCGCACCTGGTACAACGCGACTAAAAAGAGAGCTTTTTACGTCACGTGGGGGTGCGCGATGTAAAAAGTGATACTTTTTACGTCGCACACCCTCCACACGACGTAAAAAGCCATCTTTTACGTCACGTTGTACCATAAGCGACGTAAAAAAGGCTTTTTATGTCACGTGCTAGGGTGTGCGACGTAAAAAGTTCTTTTTATTCTCTTCCAGACCCACTCCCGCATCTCACGCCGCAAGGGTTTTTTAGAACGACGATGAGAACGACGATGACAGCTACCTTTCCACACCATTTTCGATCATTTTGGTAGTGAAGAACATCAACATTGTGTCTCATTTTACGAATTTGACATTTCTCCCCGATTGGATTCGAGTTTGAAATCGTTTTCGTGTTTACTCGAGGTTAGTGTTCTTTGTCTCCTGATATATGTTCAAATTGAATCCATTATTTTTTTTTAGGATCTCAATCACGTCATTGTATGAATGTCTCTATTGGATTGTTATTGGAAATGTCATTATTTTGTTTGAGTGCATTTTCGGTTTACACAATCCATTTACGTGTTTTGTTGTTTGTATATTAATTTATTTTTAAATATAAATTTTGAATCTCTAGGAGTGACAAAACTTTATAACATAATATGAATCGAAGTTGGATGAATGCACGTCGTATTAGTGAAGAGTACGAAAAGGGAGTTGATGAATTTTTTAAATTTGCTAGTGAAAATGGAAAAGGTATTGAATAATATATGACTTTTTTTTATTTAGAATCGTGTCTATAACTAATGTTCTAAGTGGAAAACCCAGAACAAAGATTTTGCAGTTCATTTATCCTAAGGTTAGAAACTTATTATAATAAGTGAATACCATAATTATTGTTTGTATTTAAATTTTGAAAATAACATTATATTTTATTCATCATTTCAGTGTAATAAGCAAACAGACTCATTTGAATGTGGTTACTATGTTATGTATTGGATGAGAGTCATAGTTTGTGCGAATATAACTGATTCTTGGACGGAGGTAATTGTTTTCAACATTAGTTAAGTTTATTTAACTTTATGTGTGTTGCATGTTTACAAGAGTCAAATTAATGTTTCAGGTATTTCAAGATCCATCTCCATTACCAGAATATGATATCACACAAATTAGAGAATAATAGGCAAGGTTTTTCGTTCAACAATTCTAGTACTTAATTTTTTAGGTTATTGTTTATATTATATTATGTGTATTATGTAGTTTAGGTAGCTTAGTTTGTACTAACTTTTAGTTTGTAATAGATTTTAGTTCGTAGGTTATTGTTTGTATTATATTGTTTTATTATGTAGTTTGAATTATATATAATATTATATTTTTTAATTACATAGCTAAAGAAACATGAATCTCTGGACTGTTTGATTATAATATATATTTGCAGGTTTTGGTTGTAAGACAAAATAAACCCAATTTTTTTTTTAAAAATGAGCAAATTTACGTCGCGTATACCAATACGTGACGTAAATTTACTCTAAATTTATTATTTTTTGATACTTTTTACGTCTATTTAGTGTAAATGAAACGTAAATTAACGTCGAGTCTCGATAACTGACGTGAATTTACGTCAGGCTAAGGGTCCGACGTAAATTTACGTCTCCCGTTTTAACGTCAGTCTTAAATGCGACGTAAAAAATCCAAAATACCTGACGTAAAAACCCTTTTTTGCACTAGTGGATCTTGAGAACAAAAAAATGTCCTCATTTTGACTCTCCAAAAATCATAATTTTCTCCCTTGAAAATAGTGAATGGATGATGTTTGGTTGGTAGTGGTCATAGGTTGAATTTTTTCTTTTGGAAGTAATGTGTAGTGGGATTGGGTTTTTTTAAGGTAGTCGAAAATTTTTCTCTACGTCCAGTAGGTGACCGAACGTAGCTCAGATACCACTGTTAGTATTTTAGGAAAGATGGTTTGATGTTTAGTAATGAGATTTGTGTAGAAAATAATTTTTAGAAAGAGGTGGGCAAATAAGAGAAGGTTTGTATGAGGGAAGATAGTAATTGATCTTAGAAGTGTTACACTAAGGGGTCACCACCTATATATAGGCATGAGACACTCCTATCTAGAATTTTCTAGGAACTTAAAGATGATTCTTCCTATATTACACTTTAACTTATTATTCTAGATTATTCTAGTAATTCTAAAAGCTACTTACATAGAGTTTACCATTCTAATAATCTCTATAATGTAAAGAAGTTTCTAGAATTTAATTTTCTTGATCTTTTTAGAATTTGCATCAGGAATTGCTACTTTGGTGTTATATAGTACTTTTGATGTAATTGGATTGAGGTACTTGTACCTATTCTTTTCATCTATACCTAGGGTCATGTCCTTCTATCACCCCACAAGAAACTTGTCGGTTGCAAACGAGTTTACAAAAAGCAAACTCAAACCTTGTTGAGCATTACAAATCTCGCTTGGTTGCAAGTCCATCTTAGGTGCCAAGTCCTCATGGTTTCCGGTGGAACATAATATTTCACTCAAACAAGTGGGGACTTGATAGATGACCTAGCTTCATATAGTCATCTTGTTGGTCCACTAATTGATTCTCACGTCACTAGTTTGACCATATCTTGTCTACTGATTCCCTCGAATTACATGCATTGTGTGACGTTGATTGGGGATGCAAGAATTCAACAAGGACAATTATTGGTTATTGTGCTTTTCTTAGTCAATCACCAGTCTCTTGGAAAACTATAAGAGGCAAAAGTATTGTGTCACATTCAAGTGCAGATGCAGAAACCTTTCCATGGCCACTGCTAGTGTCAAGATTACTTGATATAGAATTATATTGAAACATTTGAAGATGACTCACACAATCAATTACATTATTTTGTGACAACCAAGTTGCCAAGAACTTTGCTTCAAGTTTGGTGTTTCATAAATGAACGAAACACCACAAAGATATTGGTTCATTTGGTGCATGAGTTAATACAATTTGAAACGCTACTCACTTTTGAGTAATTTAACTTCACTTTTTCTTGTTGATGAATTAGAACACCTCATGAGAAAATAAATAAAATGTGTACATATAATAGATGCGAAAAGTTTTATTAATGTAAAAGTCGGCTTAATTATTCTGCATTACATTAAAGGAGTTCAGTAGCAATCTCTTGTGTATTTTGCCTTGCTCCTGTACTTATTTATAAATACCATGTCATAAATCGCTTTCAAACACCTGCAAACACTTCAAGAGCTTCTATGGGATTTGAAACAAAGTAGTTGAAGTACTCTCCATAATTGAAGGGATGGTAACGTAAGGGATGAACTTTGTCATCCACTAACTCATCGGGCACCTCAATGTTCATCTCTTCCTTTGGCATTGCAAAAAGTCCAAATGAGTATCTCTCTTTCTCTCCTCCCAACATCACTCTGTGGGTGACTGCATGAAGCCTCCCGTTGCTCCATGCCTGTGGATTCATGCAACTTGATTATAATTATTTAATAAATGTATGGTCAAAGAATTTCAATTCTACGTACTTATATATGTAGCTAGCATCATTATTTTATATATACCTTGAGTATATCACCAACAAGAACTACAAAGCCATCAGGGGGTATCTCCAATTCAATCCATTTGTCTGTTTTGGATAACACCTGGAGTCCTTGGACATCTTTTTGGCATAAAATGGTTAAAGCACTATTATCTGTGTGAGGTGGAAGACAAGTCTGGGAGTCATTATTGCTTTCAGGAACTTTGTACTTGATCAATCGTGAAAAACTAGAGCTTTTCAAGTTTTCAACTTGTGAAATGTAATAGTTAAATATATAGTTTGTACTTGTGAAAATATCATTTTATTGCTTACCCAATTAATAATTTTAACTTAATTTTTTTAAATATATAGTTAAACAACTTCTTTAAAACCTCTTTTGCTCTAGTATTATATATTTTTAAGTTGCAAAACTTGAAGAAACAACTTAATTACCTAACCTTACTCCATTAGAGTTATCAAATGCAAATCTTGATACCAAAACTATAAATAAAAATCTGAAAACTATTTATCAAATTGAATGGAGATGATGAAGCCTGATATCCCCCATGTATGATGATTTTGGTTGCTACTATGGATATAGTAATTGAAAGATACAGGATTTCAAGTCTCAATCAACGAAAATACCTAGGCCAATTAACACCACAAGCTAGTGCATGCGTAGACTGATAAATACTGTATAAAGTAGAACTAATGGGAGAATTTATGAGTACCAGAAAGGTGTGTTTCCTTGAGGCCACATGAGGTTAGTGAAGGCTTCAGCAGTAGCTGAGAGAGGAACATCATCGAACCCAAAGCTTTCACAGAAGGGAATGACTGAGTTCTTGCCATTGTAGCTCCTGTAAGGTTTTGGACTCATGTGTTGCTGTTTTGTTTCTTCAGACAAATCAAATAAAGCTTTCAAATTATTAAACATCTCTTCACACACACTCTTGGGGATGATCGCATCACACATCAAGAGGAAGCAACCATGACTCTCACATGCTTCTCTCACTTTCTTGCTCATTTCTTTCCACTCCTCACTCCCGTCTTCTAAAGCCATCGCACCCTTGCAAAAATCAAAACATGGGATCGTCATGATCTCACTTTCCATTTCAGTCAATATATGGCTGTGTTCTTATAAAAAGCTGTGCTATATATAGAGAGTTGGTGATATTCATACAACAGTTTAGCTACCTCTAAGGAAAATAAAAAAAGGCAGAAGTAAAAAAAAAAAATATATATATATATATATATATATATTGACAGAAGGAAATTAAAACCAATATATATGGGAAGAACGTTGGGATGGAGCCCCACATATAAATTTCTCAAATATTTATCTGATTAGTGGACAACATTTGTAATCCTTGCAAAAGAAAAAGAAAACCCTGATTTTGGTTTTTAGGAAATTTTATTTCATGTTTACGCAGTTCTATTTTTGTTCATGTATATGGACGACAAGGATAAATTGAAAAATGAATGTTAATTGCACAAAGGTAATGCACAAATTCAGGGATATTTTAACATGAAAAGTGCCAGATTTATATTAAATTTTGCAGAAATATATACTTGATATATAATTGATGTTCTGTCACCAGAGAAGCAATAAACTTCATCAAAGGTAGTAAACATTTTTATTTTTTTGAAAGTGATGAAAATGATGGTGAAAGTAATGTATAACAAACGCTATTCTAATAAGAAAGATGCTTGCTCGGGAAGATTAGAGAGGAGTTGCACGTCTGTAATATGTGTATATATTGTCAATGTCCAGCTCAGACCCGATATATGAGCAACCTGAAGTCAAAATTAGTGCATTGTTTCTCTTCATCTGTTTCTTATTCAATTGAAGCAAGGCATTATTTGTCCTTGTTTAGTTGTCAAAACTTGAAACTTAAACCTTTAGACTCTGATCGGCAAGGAAAAAGGAAGTCCCGTGTAAACCAAGGGAACAATATAATTATATATAACTGCTAATTTGTGTCACATTTGGATATGTGTAGAATTGTTTACTTTGTCTTCTTTCTCTGTCTCTTTTTCACCTAACACAATTACTAAGTTAGCTAGAAGAGATAGATATTGAGAAGGAAAAAACAGACATTAATGGTTGTCTGGTTGCAAACATATTGAACACCTGTTTGTGATTAATATTTGCCTTGTTATTCAAGAGGTCACAACAAGGGCATGCTTCTATAGTGTTCCCGAACAACATAAATAGTTCAGCATATTGGGGATTCAAGGTAGTTGTGTGCTAACATTGTGTTACTAGTCTTTTAACGAAACAATAGCATATTCATTATCAAAGAAATTTAGTCACTAAGTAAACAGAAAGATCATCGTGGGTTGAAAATGGGTGGTTTAGCAATGATGATTTGGATTTGAAACCGACATCCCCTTATATATAGGAGTTCAAGTTTTATGCGGCACGTTGCTACCCTTCTGATTCCATTATTAGCCACAAATATGTGAAATTTGGGTGTCTAAATTATACTAAAATTTGTTGTCATGAATGGAAACTGCAAAATCAATCCTTTAATTGAATTCCAGGCCTTCATTTGGCAGAAAAATCATCCTGTTAATATATATATATATATATATATATATATATATATATATATATATATATATATATATATATATATATATATGTATGTATGTATGTATACATGTTTATGAAGTTAATTTTCATTTTGTACTACAAATTGAATTATGCTCATTGGGAAAATTGTGGATGAAAATAGTGATCAATATCTTAGTACAGCTAGCTAATATAATACCCCAATTTTAGATTAGGTGTTTTGATGGTGTGTGATGATATTTCTTACAATTTTTAATGTTTAAGATATATTTAAACCTTTGCCTTGATAATATCAATTTTCACTTTTTTAAATACTTTTTTATGCATATGCTTCAATATTTTGTTTACAGGACAATTTGGGATTTCAAACGCTGATAATATAATGCTATTAACGTATTCATTAATTCACTAAAAGAAAAGTAAGTTATATCTTAATTTAAATTGTAATAGAAAATTAATATTAATATTAAGTAATATTTTTATCATTTTTAGTTGCTTACGTTGTTTTACTGCAGTTGCTTATGTTTTTCTCAGTTTTATTACATATTCTAAATATTGTAACATTTTTTTTACAATATTGATCTTTCTGCCTCAATTAGTCTGTTATATGTCAATATAGATATATTCATGTATGATGATTCAAACACTTAAAATGTAAATCTTTTTGACGAATAAAAAAACGTATATAACTTATTGTGTAGTAGAAAATGCATTTGGTGACTTGAACAAGTTGTACTTAATGAACGCATAGTTGTTTATGACAAGTATATATGAATTTATATTTGTTTAATTTTATTTGATCCAGTTCTTTCCTGAATCTTGTATTTTTTTTTATAATATTTTATGTGTTAATAATATGTGACTTTATAAATATTAACTTATTTGAAATTTCTTAAGTTAAAATCATTGATGAATTTGGATCAATAACTTTAATCGTACTGTCTTTTAAATATAGGGAAAAACAGTTGAAATGGTGATTTTTCCATATACAATAGACTATGAACCTATGATGGGTGATAGCAAAATGGTAGATATCTAGGGCAACATAATGGCCCACTTGAAGTCTATTCTCTAAAAAGTAAAGGTTGTGTCACTAAAAAGTTATTTCACTTAAATTTCTTTTCCATGATAAAGAACTCATCAAACAATTTGATAATTTGCATTCTAATGAAGGTTAGGAGAGTCTGCATCATTCATATTGTTTTACGAAAACTACTTAAACATTGATGAAATAATATGATATTTCGACACTGTCTTAAATTCATCTAACATATATTAATTTGCAAATACTGATAATAATAATAATAATAATAATAATAATAAATATGTATAATGATATGGAGTTGAAGAGTTTTATTGATAATATAAAAATGGGTCTAATTATTGTGCATTACATAAAAGGAGTTCCATAAATAGAAAATGTTGTATATTTTGGCTTGTTCCAGTAAATATTTATGAACAGCTTGTATCAAGCTTTCAAAGACCAGCAAACACCTCAAGAGCATTCTCTTTGAGATTTGAAACAAAGTAAGAGATGTACTCTCCATAGTTGAATGGATGATAGCGAAGGGGGTGAGATTTTTCATCCACCAACTCACTTGGTACCTCAATGTTCATCTCTTCCTTCGGCATTGTAAAAACACCAAATGAGTACCTCTCTTTTTCTCCATTCACCACCACTCTGTGTGTTGCTGCATGAAGCCTCCCATTGCTCCAAGCCTATTCATTCATGTAATATATAATTATGATTATTTAATATGAGTATGCTACAAGAATTTCAATTCATTAGAGTAGCTATTGTTTGACATATACCTTTAGTATATCACCAACAATGACCACAAAGCCATTTTGGGGTATCTTCAATTCAATCCATTTGTCTGTTTTGGATAACACCTGGAGCCCCTGGATTTCATTTTGGCATAAAATGGTTAAGCCATTTTTGTCAGTGTGAGGTAGCAGGGAATTATTGAAGTCTTCATTGTTCTCAGTAACTTTGTATTTCATCAATCGTGAAGTGCTAGAGCTCTTCATGTTTTCAACATCCAAAATGTAATGCTGTGGAAGATCATAATCCTCCACTATCATTTTTAGGATGAGGAAACTTAGTCCTAACATCTTTAAACTCATGGTCTTTAGTATCTGACTGCATGTCATTCAAAACAGAAAAACATAGTCAATGCATGGTCGTTATTTTTCTATACCATGATTATTGAAATTCATTCAAATCCAACTAACTCATTATAAAAGGACTAAAAGTAAACCAAAAAAATATACCAGAAAGATGGGTTTCCTTGAGGCCACATGAGGTTAGTGAAGGCCTCAGCAGTATTTAAGAGAGGAATATCATCTATTCCAAAGCTTTCACAGAGGGGAATGACTGAGTTCTTGCCATTGTAGCTCCTATATGGCTTTGGACTCACGTGTTGCTGTTTTGTTTCTTCAGGCAAATCAAACAATGCTTTCATGTGATTAAACATTTCTTCACGTACATGTACACCATTGGGGGTCTCATCACACATCAAGAGGAAGCAACCATGACTCTCACATGCTTCTCTCACTTTCTTGCTCATATCTTTCCACTCCTCACTCCCTTCTTCTAAAGCCATCCCACCCTTGCAAAAATCAAAACATGGGATCGTCATAATCTCACTCTCACTTTCCATTTCACACACTCTCTTCTCTAGTTTCTGTGGATTGTTCTTTCACAAAGTTCTGCTATATATAGGCTAACGTTGAGATGGAGAGTCTCCCCATTTAAATGTTGAAACAAGCTTTAGTTGAACAGTTTTTGAATGTGGACAACAGTTGTAATCTCACGGATAAAAGGAAAACCTAATCTTGCTTTTTGCTCACGTAAATTTCATTTTTGTTTATGTAAATTGATTTCAAAAAATTGAAAATGAATCTGACATTAATTATAAAATATTATAATATAAAAAGTGACATAAAATTTGGTGAAAGCAATGTATATGGCAAACACTGTTCTACGTAGTAAGATGTTCTCTTGAAAAAGTTGCATTAAAGATGAGAGAGGCTGTCCGTAGTTTCTCTGTTTTCAGAACTCAAAATAACACACAGAAACACATAATGTTTTGGATTTATCTAATGTGATTTTGGATTATTTAATAATTATTTAGGTTGTTAAATCATCACCTGAATTTGCTAATGTCTGATTTGCATAGCACTTCTTAACAAATGTAAAAAATATAGTATTTTAATTGCATGCATTTGATATATTTTTAAATTTGTTAATGTAACAATACTATTAAAAAATAGTATTTTCAAATCAATTATTTTAAATCGATTATTAAATTGATGTACGTAACAATCAATTTTTATATGGATTAACCATCAATATAAAAAAATAAATATATAATATCAATTTTTTTATAATTGATATTATATATTCACTTAAAATATATATATATATATATCACTCATAAATATTAAAATTTTCATATATAATCATTAATAGAATGTTTTTTTTTCTCACAATATAATATAAAAATATTAATAATAATATATAATATTAACGGCAATTTTTTTATTTAACGAAGTTTAGCATATAAAAATAAAAGTGATATAATTATCTAGAACAATAATAACAAGAGAAAGTGAAATGATAATGACATACAAGAATAATAATAATTGTCAATAAAAGAGTTTCATCTTTATCTTTTTCATATTAGAGTGATTATTAACAATTGGATAATTACATATTAATTTTATTCGTTATAATAATTAAAAAGGAGAAGATTGGAAGAGGAAAAACTATGAAAAAGAAAACTTCAGAATTTAAAAAAAAATTCAAAAAAGAAAAATTTTAAAGTATATAAAATATTTTCTAAATTATTAATAATTGATATAATATCTTCACTGTTTATTTTAGAACTAACGTAGTTTTAAAATATCTATCTAGATAATACGTTGGTTCTAAATGAAATCAATATTTTCATATGATATCCTATATTAGTTATATTAAATATTCATGTAAAAAGTTCCTCGATTATTCAAAAAAATATTATCGCATTAATTTTTTATAGCTTATAGATAGCCCACTATAAAAATACCCTTTTACAAAAATGTAATTTGTTGATGACTTTTTTATTCTCTGAAAACAAAATGAATCACACATGTATGCTAAAAATATACTTCAAGTGAACAAATTTAAAAAATAAACAGAATAATTTAAAATGTGTGTAAAAATCAATTTGACAGATAAAATATATAATAATGATAATGAGATTTGAAGATAGAACATACAAACCACTAAAAGAACAACAAACAAACTACCAATTTCCTTGATGTAGTTGTCACCATGTTTGTTAGCCACTTCTGATCCTTGGAATCAAAACAAGTCGGCAAAGTCACATGCTTCAAGAGTATTAATATAGATGACTCTGGAGAGTTATTGACACAATTAACTTGTTTGCTGCTGATCCAACAACCATGTCAGTTTAGTAAATATACATTCAGTTGGTCACAAGTCACAGTCAATGGGAGAATAAACTAATTTTCTGAAACACTTTTTGACTTTCAGAATGTGAAATGCATGCATGGATATGTAAAGAGATTATTATTCCTTCGTAATATTGAGGAAGATCATGTAAATTTGAGTGCCAGATTCGAAATTCGATTGAGGCAAGGCCTTTTTGTCCTTGTTTAGTTGTCCAAATTCCAAACTTACACATATAGAATCCTATCAAAGGAGAAAGTATTGTACGTAGCTGCAAGTGTGAGGTGTGTAGCGTGGTTTAACTGATTTTATTTGTTGTTACCTTCATCCACTTTCTAGTTGAAAGAATGCTCAATTAATTCCTTCTCCTTCATTGTCTTACCATGTTGGAAGAGATAGAGATTGAGAAGGAAAAAAGAAAAGGCATAGACATTGGTGCATTGGGTGTCTGGTTTCAAAAGGGACTGTAGAGGTTGAACTATGGGGTCACACAATTTAAGCATTTGTTTGTAATGTTTCTGCCTTGTCCTCCAAGAGGTCACAACAAAGGCTTACATATTCTGTAATGTTCCAAAATAACACAATCATATGCTCTTTGTAGTGAGAATATGTCTCTGTCTCTTTCCCTGGTCACTTTTGTAGATGGAATATTGATAAATGCAAAAGAGGTTCTACCAAGTTGAAGATATATGGGGACCACAAGGTTTATACATCACATTCTCTATAGCTGTCATCACATCCTGTGTATTTCTCAGAAAGGTTGGTTGGTCCTTCAAATATTATGGTGCAGTATCTTTCTGTAGGGTAAGACTGATATAGCTCTAACCCTATGGTGCTGTGAGGGATAATAGCACAGAGAAAATAAATAAGGGACAAGAGTTGGATAATATGTTCCAAAATTCCATGTTACAGCATGTTGTTGGGAATACAAAATAGTTGTTTAAAGAAACAAAAGCAAATTTACCATATTTACTATATTGAGCTAAAATCAAACCGTCTAATCCCCAAGTGTAAGCATGCAGTGTGTGATGGTGGATTGAAAATATGTTGGCATTGGCAAGGTTCTTCATAATACTTGTATTTGAAACTGGCATCCACATATAGCAGTTCATGTATTTTGGGACTCGTAGTTAACCCTCCATTTGTGAATTAAAAATAGAAAACAAAAACTATGCTTAAACCTTTATTCGATTAATGGACAACATTGTAGTGTTACTTATAAAAGAAAAATTGAATCTTGTTTTTCAGAAAATATCTATTTCACATTTACGTAAAGCTTTTTGTTTATAAAATTGTGTCTGAATTAAAAAACTAATTTCTAGAGTTTAATCTTAATTTATTAAAAATTATACTTTTTTGCTTAATTATTATATTTAACAATTTATTATTATAATGTAGATACATATTTATTAGATTTTACCTTGATTTATTATTAATATGAGGAAATATGTTTTCAAAATAATAAATATATATTTCCGAATCAAAATATGATTAAAAAAAAATTAGATGTACAAATACTATAATAATATTACTAATAACAAATATTATTCTTATACTTATGCTCATTTTGTAAAAATAGTTACATAAAAATATACTGCACGAGTAAAAATATAATAAGAGTAATGATGATTTAAAAACAATTACAATAATAAAGAAAACTACTTGCACGAAAAGTTCATATCTCTTTAGATGATATATAGTTACAGATAGTAATATTTGTGCTTATTTGTTACTATTTTAAGATATTTATAATAATTATTTAACTATAGTAAAATATACAAAAAAATATCAATATATATAATTATTTTATAATAACTAATTTAAATAAAATTATTCATTTTTATATAAACTATTATGAATTATTTTAAATTTAATTAAACATCTATAAAAACCCTTAGTTTTAATCATTCCTGCTAATAACATGTATTATAAAGTAACCAAATTAAAAATAAAGCCATCTTTATATATAGAATCACTTATTTGTTAATTCGTATATTATTATATTACATTACTGTTATAATTCCTTGAGTTAAATACTTATTTATTAAAATTTAACTTTTAATTACTATTAGTCGCAAAACATATTTTAATTCGAACAATTTAAAAATTAGATTAAACATTTTTAAATTCTCAAATTTTGATTTTATTTTTTACAAGAAATTTGTATTTCATTCTTTAAAATTATTGGATTTATTTCCTATAAAATAAGTTCATTTTAGTTTTATGTTTAAAATACGATTTTTTATCGTACTCCATTCCAAGATTTAAAATCACTGTTTTCTCTTTAGAAAACTTATTTAAGGGTAGATAAATAACATTTCTATAGGATACTTATCGCTTAATATTAAGAATTAAAAACAAAAATTTAAGTTTTAGAATTTAAGGAGTGTTAAAGACACGATTGAAATTTAGAACAGGAGGTACAAGAAGAAAAGCATGGGTGCAGAAGAAAAATACATTTTCGGTATTTGTGTTATCAAGCATTCAGTTCATTTGGGTCGGATTAGATGGCCCAAACCCTTTCTTTACCCTTTTTTTAAGGGATCTTAACATTTTGGGCTCAGACAGCCCAAAACCTTATTTTCCTTTTTAGGGTGTCGGGTAACACGAGCCATATAATATTTGTTTCCATAGCAGCCATGCACTTTCTACCGCCAACCGCCATTGTCGCTTTTTGACAACATTCAAAACGAGTTCAGAGAGAAAAACAACAAAATCCAACTTAATCTATCGAGAACGGAAAAAAAAAAAGGACCCACGAATTCGAAGAAGCACACAACAGAGGTCAAAACTATTGGAAGACTAAACAAAGAAAGGAAAGGATCCAAAAGACAATGTTACATTACATGGACAAGTTAGTAGCTAAAATTAGATGAAGACGCAAAAAAGGGAAATAAACTACTAAGTAAAAAGTGAACAAGAGTGAAAAAGACCTAAAGTATTTTCATTATGGTCACTTCCAGAGCTTGAGGAACTTGTCATGACTGGCAGAAGCAACCAAACCATTTACAGTTGAAACAGCCAAGGCAGTAATAAGACCATCATGTGCAGACAGGGTCATTGTCTTGTTCTCGCTCATGTTCCACAGCTCCAATGACTGCACGGCATTATTATTTTACTATGTGTAAGATCTCAAAATTACAACACTAAATAAAAAGGAGAAGAAATGAAAAAAGAATGAGATTTGCCTGGTAACAGCCAATGGCTAGCAGTGAAGGGTATGTTGGGTGGAAAACACATGCATGAAACTTATTGCCATTGCAGCTAAGTTCATGAACACATTCCGCTTCACTCCCTGATCCAAGAGTCCAGACCCTCACAGAGTCCTCACTCACAGATGCCAGCAACTCCCCAGAAGGGTCCCAACACACACAGTTCACCGTTTTTGTGTGTCCCTACAACCATAGTACAATAAAGAAAATCAATTGGTGATAAGATAATCTTGGGTAATAATGAATAATATATACGGTAATAGACAATTGTAGCAGATCACATAGTTAACAGATAGCTTTTTCACAAGGACTATCACCTGCCCACAAGAAGAAACTTCAAAAAAAGTGAAAGGGTATGCAGACCAACCTTTAATGAATATCGGCACGCTTGTGTCTCCACATCAAATATCGACACAATATTCTCTGCTGCAGCGGCAAGGTACCTCCCTAAACGAGGCTGAAATCTCATCTGGGTGGTGCCACCCTAATGAGCAAAAAGATTGTAGGTTAGCAGACTGAAAAATGCATCATGGTTTAAATGTACAAGCTACAAAAATGAGATTTTTTCTATCAAAGCACTTATTATGCAGGACCCAGTGAAGGGTTTTGACCTGCTTTGTGGGTCTTGGTACGAAAAATGCATTTAAAATATGCTAATAAGGATTAACATTCGCTACCTTCCAGACTCTAGCACAACTGCCATTGGTTATGCTCCAATATCGTATCTCACCATCACCATCACATGAGCAGATGAGGTCATCTTTATTTGGATGAAAATCTAGCGACATAACAGTTGTAGAATGTCCCGTGAAGGTGCGAAGCGAATAACCAGGCTGCATAGTAATTATATGCAGTTAAATCCGAATACTAACAAGAAATACACACAATTCATCAACTTCTAGTTGTAGACAAAGGCAAACAAATTTCTGAGACTGCAATAGTAAACGTCCCAGCAAATAAATAGTCCTAATGCTCACGACAAAAGACCAAGCCTTATACAGCTCCGTAGGAGAAACATTAATCTAAGAGCAAAAATTTTAACCGGGGATCGCATGATCTTCTAGAGATAGAACATTAGAAATAATGGTGGAATTCAACATCCATATTGAAACCATAACAATCTCAAACTATTTGTTATAAACACTACATATTACCAGCAATATGAATTCCTAAAGCTTCTTAAGCACTATCAAACCACATATTCATCTTCATCTCAAACAAATAAATATAACCCTTTTGTATGACAGTCTTTCAATTAACTTTTTCATTGGCACTCCGGGTAGTACAGAGTAGTAAAACCACATCTAGGAACTTAACTGCACTAAAAATATATATCTTGAAGCTGAACACATTTTAAGCTGAAAACTCAGTAAGAAAATAGTCGAGTACTTGTTTATAATTTCATACAAAACACACAATAACAAGTTTCACCATCTATCTCACTATGCCCAGATTTTCAGTTAAAGTGGTCATCTACACATCTCTTTGATTTTGTGGTGTGCTACACTTTAAGTTGAGGCAAATATTAATATTGTCATGTGCATGATCAAGTTACTTAAAAACCCCATTAAAATACACAGAAACAATAATAGTATTATGCTATTAAAGTAAAACAAGAAACAAATCAACTAACATTGTCAACATCCCAAACCCTGACAGTTTTGTCAAATGAAGATGTTGCAAGACGAGGCATGCTTGGACTAAACCGGACATCAGTAATCAAAGACGAATGTTCTTCAAGAGTAGCCTTTTGTTTAAGAGAATCCGTGAACCATAAAACAACCTGCAGTAGAAAGCAATTGGGAGGTAAAGACCATATTAATCCACATCAAAACAGAAGTAACGGAAAAATAATGTTTGGGATTTTGTTTTTCAATTTAAGATCACTACTTATTTTCAGGAAGTTGGTTGAACAAAGAAACTACTAAATAAATATTATCATCAGGACTAATTTTGCCACTAACCTTTTTGTCATGGCCACCACTTGCAAGTAATTTCCCATCAGATGAGAAATGGCAACAGGCAACTTTACTTGTGCTTGCTCGTACAGAGCTTACATCAGAAAATGTGAAGCCTGAAAGCAGAACAAATTCAGGCCCTTAGTGTCTAATTTGTAAGTCATTCCCTCTTTATGCTTATGCATGTCAAGGAATTAAACAGTAAGTAGTAGCAACCATACGATGCACATATAAAAGATAACAATTATATAACCAACAATTTGCTTATTTATCCAAACAAAAAATTGTACACATTCATCATAAATATTGTAAAGAATATTGAGGCACAAAGAAAGAGACCTCACAAGTCATTAAATCAAATTTGAATTGCTGTTTAAAAATTGTACTTCACTGTATTTCACCATAAAGTGACAAATTATCATTACTATTCAATGAAAAGACTGCAAACTTTCACATTGGAGTGAGGGAAATTCAGACATACACTTTGAGAAACTCTTTTGCAAGGATGATGCCAGAATATTTATTGATCAATGTAAAATGGTGTTTACTGCACCTTTGCTTACATCCATACAACGGCCAACAGTATCTCTAGGGTCTGTATCATCATGGGATAAAAAAGACTCTACATTTTCATCTAGAGATCCATCCTCCACGAAGCGATCCACATCAGCCTGCAATTCAAGATCCTTATCATCCCACTGCCAAAATGGAATGGCAATGAGTCTACATGCAAGGAATTTCATAATTTCTTCCATCAATTTAACCACACAGAAAGCCACTCACCAACTGGTTAGAAGGTGATGTAAGGGTTCCAGTGCCATCAGTGCCAAACATCATTAGAGGCTTTGAAGAACTACCACTATGAGGCAAGGCAGGCATTGATATCACATCTCCAGGCGTATGAGTCGAGGGAGTTGAGGGTGCTGAACTTGGTGATGGACCTGCCGTATTTGCTGTGCCTGAACTATTGGCAGGACCTGACGAGGATCCAGGCTGCTTTCTCTTTCGGCCAATTTGGTTTTTTGAAACCTTAAAGTGAATTCAAATAACCATGTTAGGAACTTATTTATTACTCTTTGTATGGTACGAAGATCAGATGTCTGTCAAACTCAGACAGAAATTTACAATCATGTGATTTTAATAAAAAGATAATCGTCAAAATCTCAAAATAGCACAACATTGCTATTTGGGATTTCCACATTGCTAGCGCAATAAATAGCCACTCACTTCTATTGACGTCTACATAAATGAATCATCATATCTCTGTTCAGAATAATTTGAAGAACAAAAGAAGTAAAATAAGATCCCCATGCCTTAATCCAGACTGCTCACGACCATTTAAATTCTCAATTTACTGACAATAAATCTGTTGCATTTTCCCGGGTTATAAACGCATAATGACAGCAAAATTTATAATACCTACAACAAAATGGAAAATATAAACATAGACATAGCAAAGGGAAAAGAGGATGAGATATTTAATCATGCAATTGGATATCAGATCTCACAATTTGCATGAATTAAATGACTATTGTAATACATTTAGTAAAATAAACCAATTATGTACTTCAGAAATTTGGTAGATATTATGAGTCAATAATTATCACTTTTTTACAAGTCAGAAGAAATATAATTGCCTATTGCCCAATGATTCCAAAAGGAATTAGGACCCCAGAAACAACATACTGTTTGAACGTGTATGAGGACTGACCTGGTCATTTCCTCTAAATGAATTAGACATGCTACCATCCACAGTGACACTGCCACCACCTCCCCCTACTTTATCCTGCTGATGCATGCTATGATTAGAAGTCTGAGATTGCTGGTTTGAAAGAGCATGCTGTTGAATCTGCTGCTGTTGTGCATTGGTGCTTGACTGTTGTTGATGTTGCTGCTGTAACTGAGCTAGTTTCATCTATACATGAAAAAAAAAAAAAAAACTTACCGTGTTACAAACCATGAAACATTGGTAAATATACAAAATTTATAAATAAAACAGTTTAATAAAATACATAAGAACCATACTGAAGATGGAGAACAAATTAAAAGAGAATTAACACCTTCATTAGCATATCTGTATCCCCACGAGAAAAAGGAGGGCCACCACCTTGAAGAGGGGATCCGACATTTGATACTACATCACCAACAGGATTTGAAAGACCATCCTTATTTAAACCAATACCCCTATTGTTCAGTAGCATTCTTAGTCTTCTTTCTTCAGTGGCAGATGGTGATGCCAAATTTTGTTGTGCTAGCATAAGCTGTTGCTGATGCTGTGGTGTCAACATTTGGAGTTGATGAAAAGGCTGAGGACCCTGCATGAAAGGTTTTTGTTGCTGAAGTAGACCAGAGCGCAGTTGCTCCAAACCCTAATAAAGGATAGAAAAATGCTTAATAGAGAAACCTAATAACTGTACTGCTATGTTTCAATAATTCAAGATGTTTAGATGACATCAAAATCAGTAAGAAGATTGCTACAGACTTCAGAGCATAGA